CACACACACACACACACACACACACACACACACACACACACCTGTGAAGAGCTCGGTGTAGAGCATGTAGACGGCCTTGTTGTCCCAGGGATTCTCACTCTGCAGGTCGACGGTGTGCAGAAGGTACTTGATGAAGGTCGTCAGCACCATGGTCATCAGGATGGCATACTGAGGGGCACACACAGAGGAGGTGAGCCAAAGTGTCCTTTGTTGTGTGTATATACAGCTGTGTGAAAAAGTGATTGCCCCCCTGTTAAAACATAAATTAACTGTGGTTTATCACATCTTTGGAAAGCTGAGTTCAGTTTCTCTAGCCACACCCAGGCCTGATTACTGCCACACCTGTTCTCAATCAAGAAATCACTTAAATAGGACCTGCCTGACAAAGTGAGGTAGACCAAAAGATCCTCAAAAGCTAGACATCATGCTGCGATCCAAAGAAATTCAGGAACAAATGAGAAACAAAGTAATTGAGATCTATCAGTCTGGAAAAGGTTACAAAGCCATTTCTAAAGCTTTGGGACTCCAGCGAACCACAGTGAGAGCCATTATCCACAAATGGCGAAAACATGGAACAGTGGTGAACCTTCCCAGGAGTGGCCAGCCGACCAAAATTACCCCAAGGGCGCAGCAACGACTCATCCAAGAGGTCACAAAAGACCCCAGAACAACATCCAAAGAACTGCAGGCCTCACTTGCCTCAATTAAGGTCAGTGTTCATGACTCCACCATAAGAAAGAGACTGGGCAAAAATGGCCTGCATGGCAGAGTTCCAAGATGAAAACCACTGCTGAGCAAAAAGAACATAAAGGCTCGTCTCAGTTTTGCCAGAAAACATCTTGATGATCCCCAAGACTTTTGGGAAAATACTCTGTGGACTGACGAGACAAAAGTTGAACTTTTTGGAAGGTGCATGTCCCATTACATCTGGCATAACAGTAACACGGCATTTCAGAAAAGGAACATCATACCAACAGTAAAATATGGTGGTGGTAGTGTGATGGTCTGGGGCTGTTTTGCTGCTTCAGGACCTGGAAGACTTGCTGTGGTAAATGGAACCATGAATTCTGCTGTCTACCACAAAATCCTGTCGGAGAATGTCCGGCCATCTGTTCGTGACCTCAAGCTGAAGCGCACTTGGGTTCTGCAGCAGGACAATGATCCAAAACACACCAGCAAGTCCACCTCTGAATGGCTTAAGAAAAACAAAATGAAGACTTTGGAGTGGCCTAGTCAAAGTCCCGACCTGAATCCGATTGAGATGCTGTGGCATGACCTTAAAAAGGCGGTTCATGCTCGAAAACCCTCCAATGTGGCTGAATTACAACAATTCTGCAAAGATGAGTGGGCCAAAATTCCTCTACAGCGCTGTAAAAGACTCATTGCCAGTTATCGCAAACGCTTGATTGCAGTTGTTGCTGCCAAGGGTGGCCCAACCAGTTATTAGGTTTAGGGGGCAATCACTTTTTCACACAGGGCCATGTAGGTTTGGATTTTTTTCCCCCTTAATAATAAAATCCTTCATTTAAAAACTGCATTTTGTGTTTACTTGTGTTATCTTTGTCTAATATTTAAATTTGTTTGATGATCTGAAACATTTAAGTGTGACAAACATGCAAAAAAATAAGAAATCAGGAAGGGGGCAAACACTTTTTCACACAACTGTATTAGCATGTATAATATTATGTGTGAGATCTGTCACAACCGTGTGGGGACACAAGAACATAGCAGGAGAAGGGTTAAAGTAAGAGGTTGTTTTTATCTCCAACATGTTTTAACGGTTTATTTCCCAATCCCATATTATTGATGGGTTAGGATGGGGCTATATGGAGAGAATCCATTGATATTTTTGATGAAATACCTCGATATAGAGTAAAAGTACTCACTATGCAGCCAAATGGGCTCCTTTAGTTGTTAAGATGTTGATATATAATAATATTAAATTCTTATTATTGATGCAGTAACATGTATGATGCATTTTAATGTGGTAGCTGACTGCAGTAGAGCTGGCTCCCTTCATTTTTTTATACCAGTGGTTGGTTAAATTTACTGCGTAACAACGCATTGTATTTCATTTACTCATCATGAATAAATGTAGTGAAGTAAAAAGTACAATATTTCCCTCAGAAATGTAGTAGAGTAGGAAGTAGCATCAGAATTGTGCTTATGTACGGTACTCGAGTAAATATACTGAGTTGTTTCCGTCACTGACTAACACCATGCTGTAGCATAGAAGCTTTTTAGCACCAGTGCTGCCAGTCTGGAGTCGTGAAGCCTTTCACAGCTGGAAAACTGAAAGAATGACAAACCTCAAATCCGAAAACAAGCTGCACTGAGGCTCCTCGGGTGATGATGCTGTGACAGGCGTGGTTGACAAACAGGAAGTCCAGGATAGCCAGCAGTCCCATGAGAGCTGCAGGAAATAAAGAAGGCCGACTAACACTCCTGTGAGGGGTCGAGGTACCTACACGCAGAAGCTCCACAGAAACTTAGAAAACAACACCTTGGTTTAGGCCCAGAATGAACAAGTGTTTATAAAACGTGTCTGATGGACAGGTTTTATAAAATGTTAATAGCTAACGGGCCTTATTCTGGAAATCAAACTGGATATATGTCCTCAAGTCAAACACAGTTGGCTGCTAAAATACATCTGACAAGATGACTGAATGGATTTCGTAGGAGTGTTTGGATTGTGTTATTATGGTCTGTTAATGTCATTCCGGTGGTCTGTTGTGGGGCTCCGGTAAACTGTGGTGCAGCTGGCCTCGTGTGCAAACAGCACTGATTTGCATACAGTTTCACTGAGCCAAGACTTGTATCATGTGTAGAGTCGATATGACAGAAAGAGACAGAGAAAAAGAGAAGGCCAACACAGAAGGGGAGGGCAGAATGATTTCTGACGTGGCTGATAACTTGTACTTACACAACACTCTGAAGTGAAAGATCCAAGATATGTTTGGACTCCGTTCCATCTGCAAGACAAAAGATAAACATTTCCTTTCTACCTTTAAACAATGTGCTATACACGATTACAGCAGATTGAGTAAACTGCGTAAGATAAGGACGTTTTTTTTTTTCTCTCGCTCATCACTCACAAAGTCCACCCGGTCCTCAGCCAGCCAGTGGAAGCACTTGAGGAAGAGCAGGAGTGTGAAGAGGGCCACAAAGCGAGGGGAGAAGTCGTCCCTGAACACAGTGAAGGCCAGGCACGTCTCGGTCACAGCGTACCAGGAGCGCTCGATGAGATGCTGAGGGCCCAGAGGACAGAATGCGTGAATGCACGCAAACACAAAAGGGGACGATATCGATGCAACGGAGACCATGCATTGCATATTAAACTGAATGTGTGTTATGATGAGTCAAGGGAGTGATAAATATTTTTTAAAACAACAACTCTACCTCCATTTCTGCAGCCCGTAGCTGTCCAAAAAAGACCTTCCTCATGAACTTTCCCAGCAGGAACACCAACACGAAGGCCTGAATGTACAACACCTGAAAAAGCGGGATTTGTCACACTGTCGTTGATATTTGAACGATGGGTAACATTTCTATACAACTCACACCAAAACCCCCGCCCCCTTACCGCCATGCTGGGGCTGCTCTTGGTGAGGTAGACCACAGTCGGGTAGAACTGGTGTTTGAGGAGGTAGGCGTGTGCCACCACGGCCCCAGTCAGAGCCAGACTGGTGGCAGTCACCAAGAATGCTCGCACCATCTCGGACTCAGCTACAGATGTACTGCGCTGGGGGAAACCGGATGAAAGAGAGGGGGAGGGGAAGAGGAAAGCTGTTGCAAGTGAAAGCTGATTGTTGTAGCGGAGCGGCATGCAAATAAAAATGATTTCCAAAAACTACAATGATTGGCTCCAGAGAAAGCAATGCAGTGATGTGTTTGATACTGATTGGGGGGGGGGGGGGGGGGGAGAAGAGACTCTCGACCATATTTGCACTGTTTGTGTGCACAGTGTAAAGATTTCATTAGTCAAATTGTTCTCGTGTTAATTGCACAAATGAAGGCCTTTAGGGCTGTTTGAGAGGGGAGAAAATAGAGAGCCTGGGGAACTAAAGTGTTGAGTTTGAGAACCCAAGTGTCAATCTTTACTACAAATACTCTTTTAAATTCTGCGATATGATCAGCACATTTTAATGAGCTTTGACTAAAAAAATATTTATTTATTCTCTTACCACTTTTCTGTAAATAGCGTTTACTGATGAATGAAAGGCTACAATCAATACAGCATTACATGACAATAAAGCTCAGAGTCAGAGCTGGAGTATTAGGTGAATATTGTTCGTGTTATTTTGTTAGGCCAGACAACAGAACACAATGGATCATATGTCAATGCACGTACAATGTTCTAAATGAAACTGTTGCTTGCTCTGCTTCGTTTCCTCCTGCATGGATGCTAAGCAGTGCACTTCTTAGCATTGTGTACACTCCCACTAATCGCAGGTACTGAATCGAATCACTCCCTCCTGAGCTGCATTTCTCATATTGAATGCAACGTAGTAAACTAGCTTATCTCTTATTTCCTGCTTTTATTAAAGTAGCTTACCAACAACGTGTACTTCTCTAGAGAAGCGGCAGCTCTCTTAGCCAACTTAGCTCGCTGACATTAAAGCTAACGTGGTAAGAATGAAGTCTCAAAAACACGAACAAACTTGTGATAGCGTACCGAGAAACGTACTTAAGCTAACAAGCTAGCTACATACTTCTCAGAACGCTGACTATATATTTGTTTGTATTAGTGACGATACTTTACTCCAGAGACTACCTAGCTACATGTCAAAGGCAGGTAACTAATTAGGTTAGTTAGCTAGTGTAAGCTATTTTAGCTAGCTAGCAGGTAACAGCTGTCAGTGCTCTGCGGGACTCACCGACTCGATGTCTGCGGAAGACTTGCTCCTTCGTTAACTTGACGGATGACTCCTGGCCTACTAAAATCTATATATTCTCCGCGGCTACTCCATTTCGACCGTTTCAAGGTAGCCTCTTTACAACATGTATTATCCTCGCCCCTATCCGTCTGGCTACGTGTTTATCTTTGGCTTGCTCCTTTGGAGCCACATCACATCCGGCTGCTACGGTAATTTGACGCAAGTGTATTTTCAAGCATCACCGAAACACTCCCCGTCTTCTGTCAGTTACTCGGTGTAAAGAGCAGATAGAAAGAGAAATTATCGTACACAGTTGAGTAATCAATGCTTTTATTTGGGAGCGCGTTTTAAGTTGTATTTGTAAAAGTAAATGTTAGGTGGCCTCCGACCCACCTTTAAGGAGATTTACGGTAAATACCAACGTGGACCAATCGGAAGTAGTCAGGCTGGTCCTGCGTTCCATGGTTAGATTACACATCACTGTACTGTGGGGGGGGGGTGATTGTGCACAGGTAGACAATAATACAAGTAGAAATATTAAGATATTATGAAATATGCAATCAGCAAAAATAAGCGCAAATTAAGTGGCAACCCTCTTATTCTAAAAATGCTTTTGTCGAGTTTCAGAAATGGAAGTTTTGAAGTAAGTAGATCTCTCTCCGATGCTCACTACTCACATTTCTAATCTCTGCTAGTTTAAGGTTTGGTGTGTTCACTTGAATGCATTTTCTATTGGGATAAGGATTCCTCCTTAAGAGAAGTAAAAATCAATGACAACATTCACCCCCTGCTATATGAAACAAAGCATGGGCATCTATTGGTAATTAACCCAAAGCTGATGTAACGATTACTCAAAAGGACAAGATCAACTCTATTTCGCTTTTCATGGTTGAGGTTTCCATTTCAGCCCATAAATGTTTTTTTTAAATGAAACTGGTGTAATGTAATTGGATATCATAAAGGACCATCATTCTGAGCCACAGCTGATTTATTAATACTCTGAAAGCTTTACAGCAAACAGAAATTAGCCGTAGGCTTCATTCAGTCACAAATTAAATTCACTGTCGTCCTTGTTTGCTCTGGTGCTTTTTATGGTTTTTCCCCATGGCGACAATAAGACATTTTAAACTATTTAAACAAGCATAACCATAGGTAGAACAATATTCAATGGAGTAAACTCGGTGGCAAAGTGTTGTAAATCTATCATCAGTACAAATAAAATATTTACACACTGTTCACGCATGTTGAGACCTATTTCCTGTATTCATCTTGCCAAATGTATTACTAAAATGTAGAAGAACAGACAAACAAAGAAAATAAACAGTCATTGTTACCAAATAACCTGTTTATTTCATTGCGCTAATGAAGTCAATTATCTATCCACATAATGCCTTGGTACCCACGTCAAAATTTAATATTCCTGCACAAAATCCACGAGTGCACAATATTGTTAATACAGTGAGTATGGAGAATACAGTCACTCTTACTCGCACTCGAGAGTACAAACAAGAATCGATAGCGATGACGTCCACTGTGTGATTATATCATAGACGACTACTTCTGCTGCAATAGATGAAACATTCACAATGTTAGCTTATGGCATGTTAAACGTGTTCAGTGATTCATCTCCCATATCAAAAACAGTCAGGTCGGCATACATCACCTTGTGAAAAAGGCAGTAGCTCAGTGTTCATTTTTAGCAGTGGAGACTATTTAAAAGAAAGCATCTGTTATATCTGAGCCTGACAGTAAACATACGCATCGGAAATATCGGATGTTGAGACAACGATGTGAGAAAAAGTGTAAAATTCAAATTAGTCTGTCGGACATAAGGCGGAGTAGTGAGACTGTTCTGCTACATTAAAAAACTACACATACAGAGAAATAAAAACAACAAAAACTTGATGCAAAAAAAAAAATGAAACATTTGACGAGTCAAATGCGACAGCGGAGCCCTAAATTCTTGCGGGCGTCGTAGCATTGTCGAGCAGCAGTGTGTCCGTGCCGTCACCGCTCTTCTTTCTCTGGGCATCCACATGCAACGCTTCTCTGTTCCAACAACTCATTCGGGCTGTTGCTGAGTTCAATATCCCTTCCCAAAGTTAAGTGTAAACAGTTCAGCCATTAAGACCACCTTAAATTATCAATCGCTGAGGGGGGTGGGCGAAGAAAAGTAAAAAAAATAAAAAATAAAAAAAATAAAATAAAATAAAAAAAAATAAAAAAAATATAGTAGAAGGGATCTCCCAAGCTCCCACGAGTCCATCATTAGGACACAGAGGAGATCGGGTTGAGGGGCGAACCCATCTGTGTGAGCACCTTGTCCAGCCACTGGAGGGGCCCGTGCAGGTGCACCTCGATCCAGCAGGGGGTGCTGGTGACGTCCTGTCGGTGGTACTCGGCTCCCCAGCCCTGTGAGGAGGCAGAACCAATTTAACCACGACACAGATTAGGATGATGTCTGCCTCTTGTTACAAGAAAAGGACGAGGCGTGCGTGGCGAGGCCTTACCTTGACGAAGCTCATCCTGATGGTGCACATCTTGGTGAGCTCATACACGGCCTCAAAGCCGTGGTTGACCGACTGGGCCAGAAGCTGAGCGAACTCCTGGTTGTTGAAAATCTTGAGGCTGCATCCGCTGGGGATCTTGCACACAGTGGTCGGGTGGAAGCCGTGGTGGTAGTTGCAGTTGCGGCTCTGGACGAAAATGCTGGTGTCACTGAGGCACTCTGCGTACACCTCCCCTCCCACGTAGTACAGGTGCACTCCTGGGGAACAGAGACGGACAACAGACGGTCAGGACATTTGGGTGGGGGGGGGGGGGAACCACAGCCGCGCGAGAACAATAAACGGTCGTGTCTGTTGAGTCGTACCTTTGCCGATGTGCCTGCGCGTGTTCTCGATGGTGGAGTTGCGGTTGACGTTGGACAGCAGCCCGAGGCAGAAGCGGTTCTTGTTGTTGGAAGGGTCGGTGAAGCCGTCCACCAGCACGCTGGTCGACGAGGCGTGGTAAGCCTCGCCCACGCGGTTGTTCAGTTCATAGTAGACAATGGAGCACCAGTGGCTCGGCTCCTCGTACTCCACCGGCTGCACATCTGAAAAAAGCACAACAGGTTAAATCTTATTTTTTCTTCTTCTTAAAAACAGGCAAGTCATAAACGTAGCCGATGACATCATGAGACACACACTAATCTTCTAGAAGGCACAAGAAGTTGATTAAGATGTCAAACAAAAGTGATCATAAAATCATCATACAGTTTACTGGGATATTAAGTCATATAAAGCCTCGTTAAAACCGTTGGGCCAGGATTCATTAAGTGTGGTTAACAAGAGGGAAGGAGCTCGTTATCACTCAGAGTGGAAAGAATTGCATCGAGTATAAAGATAATTATATCCCTAAACGATAGTGTACAAGATTTGCAGTTTGTATTTTTTTCCACTTTGACTTCTGTAGTTCATCATTTAGTTCTCTCCCCAAATACAAACTAATATAGAAACATTCAAAGAAAGGAATGATACATTATATAATTCAGTGTAGGTCGGTATGAGCTGTCTGACATCTTAACTGGTTTGTAAATTCTAATGTAGGGAGAGGGAAGAAAAAAAAAAAAAAAAAAAAAAAAAAAAAAATTGTAAATTGTAAATATACAATCAATATTTCATCACTAAAAATTAGAGGTCTCTGATTGGGGCAAATAAAGTGATGAGGAAATTCTTTGACACGAAAAATGACCAAATGTTCATCAAGACAGCACATGTGGTATTAAAACGTAACTCCCTTATTCATTTCAATGAGCCCACTGCAGTAGTGCAGTGTGAATGCCGGTGCAGGGGAAAGGGCAGAAAAACACGCTTTACTTTTGCAGCGGGAAATGCCCGGCTTTCAGCTGCACACGCAAATATGTCGAAACAGAGAGGAGCATTTTCACATCAATTAAGCAGAAAAGCCAAATCCTGCCTCAAGTATACTGTGAACTGCTGTGCAGCGTCTTGGACTTCCAAAAGCTGTCAAACTGTACTTCCTGGTTGGCTCCTCTGTATGTTTATTGGTGAAGTGCAGCCGATACTAACGTGTGTTCTCCTCACCTCCTCTGGCCACGTTGGGAGCCACCAGGCTGCTGCTGGTTTCCATGGACAGGTTCTCCTGGCCCAGCTGCTCGTCGGGGGGCATGTAGGCCGGGGGTGGGGTGTCAGCTGAGACATTAAGAGAGCAGTTAGAGAGGATGAGACCAGTTGTTGCTGCCGGCAAATAGACTTGCACACATCTCCCGAGACTCGGGACAATCATCCCTGGAACTGAAACGGTGTCACATTTCACAGATCCCTCACTTGCTAAGCCACATGCTAACCCATTCCCGACAGAGATGCAATTTGAGCTTTCTGAGCCCACAGAAAAACAAACAAAAACCCCCACAGAAAATGTTTATGATTATGATGCTCAAATAACCACCAGGGCCTTTCAGCACAAATAAAAATCCTAAATTGCCATTAAAAACTCTCTCTGCCCGACTGCCTGCAGCCACCGGATGTGTCAGCAGATCTGGACCGGAGCAGGACTATTGGTCGTTCTCATACTGAGAGAGGGGGGGGGGGGGGCTTTGTAAATGATATGCATATTAACATGGATCTACCTGGATCTCCGATAGAAGTCTATTCTCAAAAATACTTTACAATACACAACTTAAAACAACACCAGGGCTGGTCGTTGGCTACTCGACAGCAAAGCTCCAGACCAACACAGTAGTGTGGCCCCTTGCTCCGGTACACGAGTGTGTTGGGCGTACCTGGGAGCTGGAATGGACTGGAAGGCCCCGAGCTGGCGGGAGAGTTGGGATAAGTACCACTGCTGGCTGGAGAAGAGGGATACGGAGAGTTGGGAGAGATGGGGAAAGAACCGCCTCCCCCTCCGACTCCCCCCCCTCCGCTGCTGCCGCCCCCACTGTGCGGCTGCTGGAAGGACTCTGGAAAGGTGGCGTTCAGGGGCATGTGCGGCTCGTTGTGGGTGAGGTTGCGGAACTGAACCAGCAAGCTGTGCTGTGGGTTGAACTCGCTGTGGCGCGGTACCAGGACAGGAGGGAGCACTGGGGGGGGGGACGGAGAAGGAAGGGGAGGAAATGGAGTTGAAAATTAGCGCACACGCTGTATTATTTAGAAAATGAGTGGATCATTTTATGACAGCAGTAAGGTTTTATTGAACTTTAATGCGTTTCCTTGTTAATAATGTATCCTTTCCATTACTTACAGGGAAATGCAGCCAATGTTGGCGAGAAAAGCCTTCGTAAGCTGTCGGAAAGCAGCCATGGTGCACACTCGTGTGTAACACGAGGGCTTCTACTATCTATTATTTTATTGTTTCACCATTTGACCTAGACAATGTCAGAAAACAACAAAAAAGGCCCCTCAGAATTCCCTAAAAAGGCCTTCATTGAAATTTTGAAGCCATTTATACACAGCCGATATCAGTAGCTGTTCTTCATTTTGTTAAACAAAAACACACCAAACCTATGTCTTGAAACAGTTTAATCAACAATTCGGCATTCCTCAAAAGCCGCTTTAGGCCTTGGCTAAGATATAACCACAGAGGTCATCCACATTTATTTTCATTTTTCAACTTCGTCAAGAGGATATAGGGCCTTGATTATCATCTCCTAAGTGACTTAAAGCGTCATGTCTCCAAGGCTGTCCCTCTAAAGTACCCAGTGAGCCTCGCTTTAAAATGATCCGACGTGCGGTCTCTCCTGACCGACATGTGATCCATCTCCTTGAACTTGTCAATGCAGAGCTGGCTATCCCAAACCAGCCCAGTGTCAGAGAGGCTGTCCCCTCGGGGTCATCTCAGTGTATACGATGTGGTGTGTTAGTGACACACACACACACACACACACACACACACACACACACACACACACA